TATAAAGTATTATATTTAACTATATTAAGAGTAAATAAAATTTAAATTAATTTACTTACAAGTTTTACATGTCATTCTTAATTAAACGCAATATTATATCTCAATTTGGTTTTTCTCATAACCCCATCATATCCATCACAGCAGAGTCGAAAGATCTTGAAAGATATACATTAATGATTGGCTTATATAAAACAAGGGTAAAAAGAGTTAATGAATTGCAACAATACACATACTTGGATTTGATTTGATCACCAGGAATGTAAAATGGATCACTCACTGCATTAGCATAAGCTATGTGCAATTTACGAAACATCTAGCAACAATTACATTGTTAGTAAAATCAATTGTTGTTTAATTTTTTAAACTATATTCATGAATTTTTACCATTCTCACTTCATTGTCCCTCAAAGTAGCATTTGAAGATTGCAAAACTACTATAAATTTAATTTTTGTATTGGTTGCATACCCAAATCTGAGAAACAAAAACAATTGTTATTTTTTTTATATGTAAGAATGTTTCATACATGTATATGTGCAGATTTTTATCACATTTTATACTCTTCTGTGGAGTAAAGCATTCCTAAAAATAATTCTCTAACGTCTGCTGCTGTCTTATTTCCAATATTCAATTTTTCCTCCACAATATCTATAGAAGTATGGATTTTGTAATGAAATTGTAGAGCATTTGTTTCATCAGTGCACTTTATGTACTTTGGAGAATTCTACAAATAAGAAAACAGTTCCTTTTGATAACTCTTAGTATTAAAAATGTATGATTCTCGTATATTAAGCAATTATTCATATCTCCAAGATATTATGAACATTTGCTAGTGTATTTACTATTTATAACTGTAAAACTTACATCTTTGCCAATAACCGCAACACACACTGCCATAATTGATTATAATGTGGACATTTAATTGGTTAACTTATTTAAAATATTTATTTATTTTGATTTTGACAATGCACACATTTTGCTGCTCTTTTATAGGTTATGTTATTGTACTATGCTTAACACATGAACATCTGACTCTGACAACGTTCGACGTTATATTTACTGCCTGTCACATAATTGATGCATCAGATGATTTTGAATTAAAAAAAGAAGAAAAATTTTGTTAACCAAATATAATTTTATTTAATTCTTTTACAGGTAATAAAATATATATCTTTCATAATCATATAAAACTACTTAATTGAATAACAAACATATTTTTTTAATACATTGTGTTTCTAAGTATCGCAGTATCTTTTTTTTAAAGTTCTATATTTTTTTAACATATACAAGGTTTCTAACTCTTTTATCACAAAATTTCCATGTGCAATCATTTTTTCAATTATTTCTGGATTAGTTTCACCACTGTTTTTCTCAAAAACCTTTTTAAGTCTACTTCTGAAATATTCATAGCCTTTTGGATAGTCTCTGCCCATAAATAGTAGCTGATAACATATTTATATTGAACATTATGTCAAACGTAACTTAAAATATTTAATTTAAAAGCAGTTTATTATTTAATGTTTTAAAAAACTTGACTTACGGTCTTGTAAAGATGTAGGACTCTGCTTTTTTGTGACATTGAAAATTTTTTTGATTTTTTTATGTGTAAATAATTATTAAACTAAATAAAGATTATCAATACAACTTTGTACACTAATAACCTTCAGAAGACCCAACACCAACAACCACGTACATTACGCATACGTTTATCATCTTGTCAGATAAGTGTGGTGAGATTGTGGATGATCTTTTATGCACCAATAAAATGTCCTAAATATCAAAGTAACTTATTAAAAGAACACTTGCATTCAAATACATTAGATGGATTAGTTAATTTTAAAGAAATCTTGCTCTCCACGAGTTTTGACTCATCGGAAACGGTTAATGATTGCTATAAAAATAAATCTGTATCTCAATGATAGGGTCTAACATAATTGTCTCATAATGGCTGCCTGTGATCTTAATTACGTGGTAACCTTCTTATTGCAAATTGCATTTTTTGTCATCCCAAAGTCTAGATAGGATATTTTCAAACTCTCAATATATTGACCTTATCATCTTACTAACAAAAAGTCGCATTCAATTACAGAGAAACGAAAATTTTTTAAGTCCGAAAAACTGCATTTACAAAACATTTTGGTTCCTGAAACTTATTTTTACGTGCATTAGCTTAAGTATTTAGTAATAGTATTTTAGAGTCACATAAGAGTCAATGTTGGGGTCGATTTTTTGTGTTTGAAACTTCCGCCACTCACTACTTTATCGATCGTTTCAAATAATGGTGTCTCTAGCCTCTAACGAAGATACAGCTTAGCAGTGTGAGTTGTTAGTATTATCCTTCTTTTTTTAGTATTGAAAAAATGTATTGGATTTCATTCGTATGTGTTTCATTTTTTGTATTATTAAGTTTTATTATATCAAAATCATTGTCTAATAATACTGGTTAATTTAATATAAATATAAATACATACATTTCAGATCTAAGTAATGTGATTTAAACGTTGCTTTATCTGAATTGACAGTAGGTATCGATGTTGTATAGCCGAAAGCTTATAAAATTAATTTATTGTGAAAAATGGTCTCAATTTGACGAGATTGAGTAAAAATTTTTTGAAGTTGGGTATGTCTTTGCATGGCTGAGGATAGTAAAATTCATTTTAAGTAATGAATACCACGTAATATCAAAAAACAAGTATTAACGATTTAATCGACAAGCTTTATTAAACTAAAAAATGTTTATCTACTAACAATTTACTAACTTAAGAACTAACAACAATTCAGATTTTTAAACTGTGGAATTTTTTTTTTTTGAGAACTATTTGTATTATAAATAAGTTTATTCAAAAATTATTCTATAATGTTTATCAAATGAGTACAGAAAAATTTTAACTTTTTGTAGAAAATTGATTTTAATTTCTTATTAAAAATATTAAATTTCGGTTTTACAAATAAAAATTGGTTGGATACATTGTCATCGTCGAATAGACTTTTTACTCCGCCAGAAATATTTAAGATGTCCAATCAGGCTTATATGCCGAAAAAAATTCACGAATGCTGTTTATGACAAAAATAAATTTATATTACTTAAAAAATGACTAACGTTCCCAAAAAAACTCAGAAACGCAGTTTATAAAATTTTCTTAGCTAATTTGTGAGCAAAATTTAACTCCTACTTCATTGTAAAACACGAAAAAACTGTGCTTGGATCGGTAAAATTTTAAATATATTAAATTCTGGAGTTGCTGTTGCAGATTTGATTTATCATTGAAGTCCGAGAGCCACATACAGCTGTAAATACTATCGTTTCAGTTCAGTAGTGGAAGTTTCCAACGTAAATAAAGGCCAACACTGTGCCCTTTCACTAATGCATATAAATACATGTATAAGCGTTGCATGCCTGTATAAGTCACTCCGAATCGTATATCCAGACGTACATTGCTAAGCAGTTTTATGTTCGGAAACTGGCAACAAAGGAAAACATCTGACGCCAGCAACAGTTTGATGCAGAGTGGCTTCTCTGGTAGATCGGAGGTAAGACAATTTTTTCCATTTTTAAAATATATTTATAGGTCTAAGATTGGTTATCCATTTAGGAATTGTTCGTAAGAATAACAGAAACTGTTGTAATTTTAAGAATTATTTTTTTAAGATCTTAATAATTAGTTTTCAATTAATTTATTATACCGTTATTTCATTTGAAAAATTATCATATTTATTACCGTTATAAAATCACTTAAATAAATATTTTTTCAGTATTGTAAATATTATTTCAAACTATTAAGTATCACGTTCTGCATAGGAATGTATACAAATAAATATCTCACAAATGTTTTTTCTTTCATCAACTTTTGGTGGATGTTTTTTACTGTTGCGACTGATAGTTGATAAATATGTTTTTTGCTCAAAGTTAACTTTATTATATTATCTGCATGAACTAAAACAACATATCAAAACGCTTTTTTTCAGAAGCAAAATGAAAATGTTGCTAATTGGTTTTAACGTTATCCTACTTTTATGTGGTAAGTAATAACTTTTATAATTTTAGCTTTTCAATTATATTGTAATGCTGGAATCTTTTGATATATTTCCAACGAATGTTTACACATTTTAGTTGTACGGTTTTTAATACAATGAAAAAAATAAATATAAATGTTTTTTACATAAATTTTTTAGGGCTTTGCTGGGGTCGTACGGTAAAAACTCCAGTTTTTAGTAACACTTATACCACTAGAGGAACTTTGTACATTCCTTACGCTGAAATTGAAGAACCATTTTATGCTTGGTTTGATGGTTCAAATGGCAGAAGTCGAATCGACTACTATGGAGGTAAAAAATAATTTCAAGTAATAAATATTTTTTAAACGTATCAAGTACTTACGGCAAAAAATTAATTTTACGGTAGATATGGTCAAAACTTACCAGTTGTCGACTGAAGGGCCTTACGGAAGTTCTATCAAAATAGCTCCAGTAACCACCGAAAATGAAATAAATAAGCAAACATGCCTACAAGTCAATGGAACTAAGGAAACGAAAATTCTACCCCAAACTATTATACCTGATACCACTGGAATGGAGGTAAGACGTACATGAAATAATAATTGATATGATTACTTATCTGACAATTATTTCAAATACCAAGTAACAATATTTTTAGTGTAACGGAGAAGAAATGATCTTCGGCATAATGGCTGAAAAATGGAAGTTTACCGAAGTTATTGAAGAAAAGAAGAACGAATACACTTTATGGATTCGTTACGTGGTAATTTACCGTTTTTGTAAAATCTGCTTCTCATAAAAACTTGAATGTATGAAAATCATTTTTTTCAGAAATCATCCAAACAACCAAAATTAAAAGAACCAGTTCCAATCAAATACGAAATGCGTGGTTTTAATACACTTTTGGGGTCACATTATGATCATTACTATTTGACGTACGATTATTATGATTTTGAAGTGCCGAACGATAATGTATTTCAAGTGGACAAGAGTAAGTTCATTATTGACGTGACATTTAAATGTTGTTTAACATGAAATGATATTTACGTTACAGACTCGAGTTGCGTCAGTTTTCCCGGTCCGGGTATCGATCACGTTTACACTTTCAATCCAATGCACGAATTCATTCACAACTACGATCATCATGTTAATAATATCTTTGATGAATTTAAAACTCAGCACAACAAGTCATACGATAACGAATTAGAGCACCACAAACGTAAAATTCAATTCAAACACAATCTCAGATACATACACTCGTTTAACCGCGCTGGCTTGTCTTTCCAACTGAAAATGAATCATCTTGCCGATCGTTTCAATGAAGAGTTAAGACATTTGTATGGAAAGCAGTACACAAAACCATCTGAAAAATCTACCGAGGGGTTACTGCCATTCGAACATAATGTTGCAAAAGAAAAGGATGATCTTCCTGAAACTTGGGATTGGAGAATCAGCGGAGCTGTGACACCTGTCAAAGGTAATTTAAACATTTTACATGTTTACACATATCACTGAAATTTTCCAACAGAAAGTAACTCCTTATAATATTAAAAAATGATTATACAGATCAGTCTGTATGTGGTTCATGCTGGAGTTTTGGCTCAACAGGAGCAGTTGAAGGTGCCTACTTTATGAAGCACAAAAGATTAGTGAGACTTTCACAACAGGTAATGTTGCCCTGTTATAAAATCAATGCTGAATCAACACTGAAATCAGTTGCAAATTACGTTGTTGATTCAGCGTTAAATCAAAGTTATTTTCAGTCATAAATCAGTGCCAAAATATTACCCCTTTTAATACTGAATCAACTATGACAATTTAGTGTAAAAATTGAAAACTATACATTTTTGAAATGATAATATCAAAAAAACCTTACTTTATAGTTAATGATTATTATTATATTGATTTAACGTGGAAATAACGTAGAATCGACGATGTAATTTACGATCGATTTCAGCATTGATTCCGCATTGGTATTTTTGACAGGGTGTTAAAAAAAACTTTAAATTTAAATTTAAATTAAAATTATGATTACATTGGGTTTCCAAAATAATTTATATTTGTGAATTAGGCCCTCATAGATTGTTCTTGGGGCTTCGGCAACAACGGCTGTGACGGAGGTGAAGATTTCCGTTCTTACCAATGGATTATGAAACATGGTGGCTTACCCACCGAAGACGAATACGGTGGTTACCTTGGCCAAGTAAGCAAACACATTGTTGGAAATAACACAAATCATATCTGTGTGCATAACGATTTTCAATTTTAATTATACATTATCCGTAGGACGGCCTCTGTCATATTGACAACGTAGCTAAGGTAGCTAAGCTAAAAGGGTTCGTTAATGTCAAGGCTAACGACTTGGATGCGCTGAAACTTGCTATTTTCAAGCATGGCCCGGTTTCCGTTGCAATTGATGCATCTCACAAAACTTTTTCGTTTTACTCCAATGGTGTTTACTACGAACCGTCGTGTGGTGAGATAAAATAACTCAAATTTCGTTTATATCACAATCAGCCAAATTGTTCGGATTCAATCAGTAACTTTCTTTCTTTTTTTTTTTTTTTTTTTTTTTTTTTTTTTTTTTTTTTTTTCCCGAAAAAACCGAAAAAGATAGAAAAAAAAAAAAAAAAAAAAAAAAAAAAAAAGAGAANTTTTTTTTTTATTTTTTTTTTTTTTTTTTTTTTTTTTTTTTTTTTTTTTTTTTTTTTCACAGGAAACACTGAAGAAAATCTGGATCACGCAGTATTAGCTGTAGGTTACGGAACTTTAAATGGTCAAGGTTATTGGCTGATTAAAAATTCATGGTCCAACTATTGGGGTAATGATGGATACATCCTGATGGCTCAAAAAAATAATAATTGCGGAGTTATGACTGCGCCAACGTATGCAGTAGCAGCATAAAATCAAATCAACAAAAGACCTCAATCATCTTGGAGAAATTAACAAAATCCTACTAGTGTCGATGTTGTGTTTTCGAAAAAAATGTGATGATATTCATTGGATGATTTTAGTTTTGTACGATTTTCTAACTTACATGAGGCTATAGAATAAAATTTGTTATAAATAAACAAATGTTTTAATAATTAAGTTACAAAGTAACGGAGGAGCTTAAATTAAAAAAAAATAATTAATTTTTCTTTCGTTACTGGGGAGTATTTAATTTTTATAATTCAATAAAAATTTTAATAACGATCAGTAAATGAAATTTTCTTCTTATTTTTTTCGAAAATTCTTTATTTATAGTGGCTCTAAAATAACAAAATGAATCACTATTGTATCGAATTTTTTATATTTTCCAACCTGTCAAGTCCCAAGTCTAATACACTACAAACAATTTAAATGTTTTAGCTGATGTGTATGCTTTTAAAAATGCAATATAGTTTTAAAAATTTTCTACAAAACTTTATTTTACATTGTATGGAATGTTGCATTTTATGTAATAGTAAAAAATGATTATTTTAGGTTCATTTTCACGCATCACTTAGTAAAATTAGGTAAAAACTATAGTTTTTTTACATTATTAACATTTTAAATATTAAATGATACGAGTAATAGTTTTCATTTATTTATTTCGCCAAAGAGAATTCATTGCAGAGAAATATATATTATCTTATAAAATCACAGAAAAATTTAGGTAATAATGACAAAGTGCACTATTGCACTGGAAAAATAAATCGAAAAAATCGTACTTTCTTCGCTGACTTTTTACGCCCTCGTAATGAATGCTATTTTTAAGTACAGTGTAGTTGCATCTAAAGACAACGAAGATATTTATACTTTCAAAAATTTTATTTTAATTTTCTCCCTCGTCTATTTCATACACAGTGGATGGATATGTATATAAATAGATAGAAACTCGCCGACAACACTAAATTATCCTTTGCTTAAAAAAAATGTCCTACATAAACTTTTTCTTACTTTCGATTTTTATACTTTCATTTTGGTTTATCACTTTCATAGACACTCTCAGAGCTATATAATAAATTCAACTAAAATTCCATCGTTATGATTCCTTTATATATTTTTGGTCTCGTCTGTTCAAATGACATACTCTTGCATTGCATATCATCATTCCTCATTATTAACTAAATTATCGATACAATAAGTCATGCACTGAACAGTTGCGAAACATCTTATTATACGTATCAGTGACCCGACCGTTCAGATTTAAGCTATTATCTTTGAACCTTAGCGTATACATTCGCATCTTGCAAACTAAAGAAAAAAAAATGCGCACAATTTTGTACTTCGAATCAGCATGTGTACAACCAATAAAAGTCGTTAAACTGAAATTGCAACCAAGCCACGCGCAGTTTGCACTCGATCCCTTTTAACACACTATGTATATGTATATACTGTATATATACTCCCTATGATTTATATTTATAATTGTATCAAGTGTCATTGTTTGTCGTGAGTAACGTGTCCACCGAAACAGAGAAAGCATCGCGCGTTAAAGAAATTGCATTTCCAGGGCATTGTTGAGCGCCAGCAGGTCCGAGTGGCTGTTTATCCTCCAGAAGGGAAAGTTGTGCTTTTGCGCCGCTGTTTCCTCGTCCAAGCTGTCGCCTATCACCACGTACGTGCAATTACGCCCGAATCTCGCCACCACCCTGCTGAAGCAGTTTTCTTTGCCTGGGGAAAAAAAAAAATAAATAAATAAATAAAATAAAATAAATAAATAATAGATCGAGTTGTCGTAGTGCAGAGCAAACGGTCTACCAACCGGTTTTCAAAGCCGAGTAGACGTTCTCGATGGGAAAGAGGCCACCGAGCCCAAACAGCAGAACCTTGGCCAGGGAGGGTATGAGCTGCTCCGAGGTGACGAGCACGTTGACGCAGTGGCTGCGCTCGTCTATCAAACTGAGACACTTGGCGGCTATCGTCAGCCAATTGTCGGTCTGCTGTTCAATCTCGGCCCTGAGGTTGAGCCACTGCTCGCGCTTCACGGCCCCAAGCAGTCCCCCCACGTTGTTGCGGTAAGTCGTGTAGGTCTCCTTGATCTTGCGATAACGAAAGGCCAGCTTCCGCATCCAGTCGACCCCACCCCTGACCCCCGAGGTCAGGCAGATGCCGTTGCTCGCTATGTCCCGCTGCAAAAAGTTGTCCGTCGCGAAGTTGTACGTCGACAGGTCCTGGCCCGTGTCGTCCGATGACACGTCGTTTATGTGCGCCTGGTCGCAGTCCTGCGAGCGCAAACTCTGCCATCCCCCCCCCAGCGGCTATCACTAATTGTATAAAAAACATAATAGGGAATGAAGGGTCACCTCACCTCGATGTCGTTGTAGAAAAAGTGGTTGTCGGCCAAGTAGAATACGATCTCCTCCATCCTGTAGGCGAGCTGGGCTAGGGTGGCGGGGTCCTTGTTGTACGTCGAGGCGAAGTGTCCCTTGAGGAGGCTCTGGAACACGACTATGGTTTCGTCGAGGTCCCAGATGAATATCCGCTCGGGTCCGGCCTCCGTCGTGTCCGCCGAGCCGACGTTGTTTCCGCTCCCGCTCTGCCGGCGGCCGCCGCGTTTGCACGGCTTCCCACCGCCACCACCTGCCGCACCATCCTTCCCGTTAATACTCCCCGTTTTTACCCCCCAACAACCTAGACCCGACGACCCGCACATTATATATGTTTGGTTAACGCTGCTTTTAATCCTATATACATATATCTACTCGTGATATGTGTACGCGCGCGACTGCGACAACTTTTATCGGATCGGTAATCGAGGGGTGACCGGGAGCTACTGATCGCTCGGCCATCCCCGGTCGTACATCCGACCAAGTATCTGCTCTATACTCTGTCGCGCGATGACTCAAAGTGCAAGAATTTTGCCGAACCAGCGTGTGCGTCTGTATTTGACGAGAGTACGTGTATATGCAGTTTGCGCAACGTGTGCGACTTGGTGAATTTTTTTTTTTTTTTTTAAGTATATTCGGAGCGCACAATGGAAAATAACGCGCACAGAGGGATACGTTGACGTGTATATATTATGGTCGTTGGATTTTAATGAGTGTTGCCTCACCTTCGACGTTCGTGGTTTCCCTCGCGGTCGGGTCATTCGCGTCGTGAGTAGTTGTGTCCAACGTCAGCGCCGATTTCGTTGAATCTGCAATAAAAGCGCGTACTCTGGTTACATCTATTTGTACATCACACGCGAGTCTATAAATTCTACGATAAACATTGTTGTTGTTGTTGTTGTTGTTTTTTTTTTTTTTTTCATTTATAAATTCATATGTATAGATTCCTCACCGGTAAAGTTGCTAATATTGAACGAAGTTGGTGTCGCGTGGTAGCCGGGCATCGAGTAGTACCCCGAGTACTGCAGGGGCACCCTATCGTTTCCGTATATCGACGCACTGTAGGCCGTGTAGTCAATCTTCTATGAAAACAGAGAACAATCGAATATCGTTAAAATAAAAAAAACCCAGAGCACATTGTAAATGTTTACCTGCGACGCCGAGGACATGTTCTGGGGTACGGAGGGAAAAGTAGTCGAGCCGCTGTTGTAGCTGGCGTAGGATGAATACTGGGTCATTGAGCTTGGCGTCGTGTAGGAACCTAAGTACGGGCTCTGCAGGGACGACGAGCCCTTCGAGACCGTTGTGCTTCCGTAAGTTGGCGAGTTGTACATGCTGCGGTTTTACAATACATGTTGTTGACGCGTGAGATCAAATTGCGTGTTGACAAAACAATACGGGTAAATTCTCAAACGGTACAAGCCGATATTTTTTTGTTTAATGTCCTTGTAATTTTGAAAAATCTTTAAATATCAACATTTTCTTAAATCTTGTTCAGTAATATCGTCTTCGTAATGTAATACATACTGAAAATGTCATTACGTAATAATTGTAAAAATAATAATTATTCATCACAAAAAATGATAGATTAATCATGTAATTTTTAAAAACAAAAAACCTTATAGTTTTCGAATTGGGGAAATAGGTAGATAAAAAAAAAGAAAAAAAAAAAAAAAAAAAGAGAATCAACCTATTGTAAAAGGAATTGGCGCCGTAATAAGCGCTGTAGTCCGCCTTGTCCATAGAATCCGGATACTCCTGATCCTTCTCCTCGGCGTTCTCGTCGATGTACAGCTCGCCCCCGGGCACGCTGTCCGTCTCCGGAAAGTCCTGCACCTCGTTTTTGACTTCCGTTTCTAAAATATTGACGAGCACTCGCTCGATTTATTGGAAACCAGTCAAACGGTTTTTCAAAAAGAAAAACCATCATCGTCAAGTATAGCATTCCTTTTTCGTTCTTTACGAAAACGTCAATTAAGAGTATAGCGTTAAAGAGCAGAGAGATAGAGAGAGCAGTATTATCGATTGTAAGAAAAGCAAAAGTGTACAGAGTTTATAAGGGCGAGTAGCGCAAGGGTAGGGGGGGGGGGAGAAATAAAGGGAAGTCAAGGGGACAGCATAGGGAGTGAGGGAGAGGAAGTGGGTGTACTATAACGCCATCAGTGGTGTGTATATATATATATATATATATATATGATATGGTGCTACCGTTATCTACCATTGTTTGCGCTGCGAGGGTGCTGTATCGAGGTCTCCGTCGACGAAGACACGTTGCCAGCGCTGTCGAGGACCCCTGTCGGTTTTGTCGGGTCATTGTCTTCGGTTAACATATCACTCCCTCCTCCTCCTGCAAGCCAAGCCGATTATTATCTCTATTTTACTTTTTCATATCCCGCGACAATTCAATCGTTCGTCATTCCAAGTTTTTCATTCAAGCTGTTTGTATATTAGGCGCCCCATTTTTCAAGGGAATTTTTATTTTCAACATGTACGTTGCACTGATGGAATAATTTTTCAATGTTACCTATAGCAGAGTATAAAGCCAAATACGTGTACACGTATTGAAACGAACTCAAAAATAAACAACTTTGTGAATAAAATGTTTGTAGTCGTACCTCGTAGGTGCAGGTACGAAAAAGGTTACCCATCAGCACAAAATTACGAATTTTTTTTCGAGTACATATTTATATTTTTTTATATTGTCTTCTATGTTTTGGTGACATTTAAAAAAAAAAAAAAATTTTTAAATCTCGTCGCATTACAAGCAAGACAATCCTCGTGAAAAATAAAAAGCGTCGTCGCTTTGGTGTACACCGCAACTTGTATGGACAATTCGTCGCGCATATATACACAAATAAGTAAGTGGATTTTTTGTATTACTCGGAGCTTATTGCGAAAAAGGTGTCAGCCTCTATAGTCAAAAGCATTGCCGAGCGCCGATAAGCCGCAATCGTCTCCCGATCGCGTTTTTTACGTGTATACGCGCGCGTTGGCGAAGAGGCGAGAGGGCGGGGTAGGGTAGGCGTGTTGCGGAGGCGCGCGGCCCCAGCCAATCGAGGAGGGCCCGACGTGCGCCTTCTTGTCTCGGCCCGTTGCCAAGTCACTATCTTGTCAGCGAGGACGAGCAAGTGTGCGCTCCGCCCTTTCCTTCGCGCCGGGCTCCCCATCGCTATACATATATATATACGTCTTGGCCCTCCGAACACTATTGCAAACATACACCTATAGAGTTACTCTTGAAAATTTCACAACATTTTAATACATTTGGCGTGTCTGTCAAACAATCTGGGCTTTCAAAGGGGTGATGTATAACCAACATGAATTTGTGACGCCTCGCAAAAACCCACGTCCAAGATTTTACCGCACGTGAGACGCCGAGCGAGAAAAAGTTGATAGGAATGCGACGCGAACGAGGGAGGGGAGAAAAAGAGAGAGAGAGAGTCAAAGATAAAGATTAACTAGCGCAAACCAAACTTCTCGAGTCTTATCGTACGCGCGTGTGGCTCGAGATCGTCACCGTTTCGAGCGTTGATTGAAAATTTACAACGGATGGGACATTTGATCGCTGCCCTTTAAGCTTTGCTTTCATTATTTTATTGTGTGTCATTGTAGGGGGGAAAAAAAAAACACACCCCTGTGATGCTCGCACTACTAATTTAATTGTATCTCTCGAGCGAGCGCTTAAAGTCGTAAACAACCGAGCGCAGCGAATGAAATTTTGATTTAATAACTGCGGCCGAGCCGGCGTGTGGCGAAGGGGAAAAAAAAGTCCCGAGTGTTTAATCGGATTAAGCCGACAGCGCCTCGATTGAGATGAGGCTCGAAATCCATTTGTCGGAGCTTACGTCTTCGCCGTCGTCGTCTGGGGCCACACCAGCACCTTGAACGCGTCGACGACTGTTACGCTCCGCCAATTAAAATACATTGAAGCCCTAACGAGCCGAATTAAACACGCTGCCATCGTGTGCGCGTGTGTACACTCGTAATACGCACGCACGCGTTCAAGGTGCATGCAAGCGTGTACATTATGCGTGCGTATATGCATATTTTTGTGCAATCGCGCTTCCTTTCCCGCGCTCGGTGTGTTACATCATGTTTTTTTTTTTTTTTTTTTCTTCCACTCGACGTTTCTACTTGGTCTGTTTTTATCTCCACTGTTGGCGTGGAGAATATTTTTATACGTGTTTGCGACGAACAATTGGTTAGCTTTTCACGTAACAATACATACAGTATAACCCAACGACAGAACATCGGTCCAAGGGTTGCATGGACGATAAGATAAGGGAAGGAAATAAAATAAAAGCACAAGCAACTGCTGTTGCGTTGGCTCAGAAACTATATAAATATAATGTATTTATTCATTATTGTGTAGTCCTGCGTCAGCTATAACACAAGGAACATCGTTCACGGGGCACATGTAGCTCCCACGTGTGTTTTTCCGCGTTTTCCTGTCGCCCCTCTTTGTTTTTTTTCTTTGCTCTGGACATAACTTTCTCTCCACGCTGCAGCCCTTCGTCCATCGCGTGTGGCTCGCGTATGCCAAACACATGGAGCGCAAACCCTCGCAGTCCAAAGCGGCGTTTCCGCAAAAACCACACGTGCCTCGGAAAGGAATTCCCGAAGGACGAGCTACACGCGCTCGGTATCCTATATATAGATGTGTTGGCTCATCCCGAGGACTCGTTCTCCCGCCTGATTTTAATGTGTCTCGGTGTGAGCCATGAAATGTATTTTTTTTTGCAGGCAGAGCTTTTGAATTTTTTTTTTTTTTTTTTTTAACCAGTCGGGCGGATGTGCGCGCTTGGAAAAATATCTAAAGTCGATCGGCGGCCGGTTTAGTGTTTCGTTTCCTCCGCGGTGAACGAACGCCGATTCCACGAACGAAAACAAAAAACAATGAGTAACGCGCGTAACGCGGACACTCGACGCCGCGCTGCTTTTTATCAATAAAACCATCGCAATGTCACGCAGAGCAGCGTCAAAACCTCTTTTGCATCGACCCGTACCCTTATTTATTTATTTATTTATTTTTTTTTCTATTTGCCCGAAACAACCACCTGTGTTTATTTTCCCACGAAAAATGTTCAGTTTTCCTGTTTTCCCTCAAAAAAAGAAACCTTGTCAAATGCGCGTTTTTTTTGTTCATACAGATACTAAATTACACGTATATATAAAGCCACCAACCAACCTTTCGTTCCTCGTGTCGTGGAGAACGATGACAGTTCCTCCTCCACCTCGTACCGCCGTCCCGATGTCAAGGCCGTCGCGGGGAGCCGAAGAAAAACGAAAGCCCCGTCCAAGGGGGGGGGGCGTGGGCACGGGTAATTAAAATTAAAAAAAAAAAAAAAAAAAAAAAAAAATCTAGACGTCCNGTTATTCAATGTAAAAAAAAAAAAAATATTAGTTGTTAAGTAACAAATTTATAGCAAGTATCTTATTTTTTAAAACAGGTTACATCTATTTAATAGGAATCTGAGCAAATGAAGAGACTATAGTGCACACTCATATTGCTTCACCTATTTGAAAAAAAAAAAAGAAAAGATTGAAAAAACAAACAAGTGTTCGATCGCGCTATCGTTCGTTGTACTAGGCACAGTGCGCACCAGTGGGGCAACAACGGGTCACTGAGCGTCGGCCGCGAGCGGCGCAGCTCCTCGGCAGCAGCGATAAGGGCTCCTTCTCCTCCCGCAGCCCGCACCTGTGGCACATCCTCGCGCCCCGTATACCCCCGGCACTCGCTAACGCTCACCAAAGTAAGCTCACAAACACCCCCACGGACTCAAACGCGGGTTTTGGGTTGATCAACGCGCAGCGCAAGGTATACGATGTATACTTGAGTACAGTAAGCAGCAACCAACAAGCGCCGCAAGTAAACCCAACACTGCTGGTTGGTGTATACACAAAATATAAACACACACGTATATAATATATGGTCGACTGTTGCTCAAGACGCGAGGGGGAGGGTCTATACTAGTATGGCCCGCTCGTCGCCTCCATCACTCCCTCGTTCTTGGCGCTGTGCGTGTATGTATAGCGCCTTGGCGGGGCTTCTCCTTCCTTCGTCTTCTTATCACACTTGACGCGCGAAGGATATGCGCGCCCCGTACACACCTACGGATTGATTTCGCGCACATATAATATACACATGCTACACTTGGGGGCTTTTCTCTTCACCACCACCACCACCACCACCCCTTCAACGATCGCGCCAATCTAATCACTATTTTTTTGTCACTCGCAACGCTTATATACATGTATACGATATATCGCGTTGGGGCACTTTCGAGCTTCTTGTTATTTTACGATCGTCGCGTTTCTGCACACGCGTGTCCTTGTTCATTCGTATTTTTCCGAAGCACTCCAGTTGTACATATGGACACGGGCCTCGCGTATACCGCACACGAAGGACCATATAGGTACACCACCTCGGCAGTACGAGCACTCGGGTAGAAAGGGGTGAGCGAGCTCCAGCGACGGGCAGCAAGCAAAAGAAAAAAAAAAAAGAAAAATAACGAGAAGGAAGATGAGCGCATTCCTCGAGCCATCCGCGTCAATTGACTTTCATAAGTGATATGGCTTCGTCCTCGCAGTCAAACGAAGAACAACAACTGAAGTATCCACGCACGCGCGACGATGTGCCTATATACCATTATAGTTTATAATCGCGAGGCATATATATTGGCTACGGTATAGACATAGANGGTTTTTAAACAAGGAAAAAAAAAAAAAAAAAAAAAAAAAAAAAAAACAACCAAAGCAGCTGATATTTGCCGTGGTATATAGTATAATCTTCGGGGGATGAACTATGTGCGCGCTCGGCGTGCGAATCGATCCTCGACGTGTGTACAACTGGTCGTGGTTGTGCCGCGCTCCGAAGCTGGGAAGAAGCCGAGTGGTGGGTATATATACGCGGGATGTACGTGTGTGCACCTACTCTCCTGACAGGCTGGAGGCTGGAGGAAAGAGAGAGAGAGAGAGAACACACTGTAAAACCCTGGTACGTATGCCAGAGTTGTGTATAGGCACGTCAACGAGGACCGACCGACGACGACGACGACGCGTGTACAAAAGCCCGTAAAAAAGGCCGTCGGACGAGGGAGAAAAAGGAGGAACGAAGGACAGAAGGGAGGGGACTCCGATGTATATTATATATACGAATACACAAGCGCGCGCTAGCTCTGCAGCATTAAAAAGAGCTTTATATATACTTATATGCAGGGAGAGCAAGCAAGAGAAACGAATCTGGCTATGCAAGTGTGTGTGTGTGTGTGTGCAGTACGGCGCTCTTCTCCGGCGGTGATGCTGCGAGCGGGCTTGCTCTGATGCTACTCCTGCGCTCCGGCAGCCCGTGGAGCACGCGAAAATGCGTACGCATATACATATACATCCCTTCTCTCTCTCTCTCTCTCTCTCTCTCTTTAGCGCGTTGTATGTTTGTTCAGGATACGTCATGTATGCACGAGAGAGAGAGAGAGAGAGAATCCGCCGCTGCCACCCTCGCCCCGTCGGGGTATATACGTCACGTGGACCCTCTTCTCTTCGTCCAGTTCTCTCGGACACATGTATATATATATATAGGTTCACGTATATACATATATATAGGACTTGCTTAATTAGAGGGAGAAAGAGAGAGCGTGAGTAGAGTGGAAGGGTGATGGACGAAGACCATACAGTATACACACGTTGGTACATTACACGTGATGGAAGGATACATATACCTATTACATCGTGGTCGAAGAAGTAGGGGGAATAAGGGCCGATCGTAGCTGGAACGGAAGGGACAAAAGGGGACGCCCACGGCGAATGGGGGGCAAAAGTGCATGATGGAAAATGATGATCGGGAGGGCTGATGTATATGGCTTATGTATATACCTACATGTTTTTACAGCTCAATCGGGACTCGTGGATTCATCATTATTATAATTTACGACGCGCAGAGTTGATGAACGAAAGGAATGTGCCAATTGATCAATTTTTTACACCACAAGTACACATTAAACACCATAAGTACAACTGATTACGAGATATTACGTTTTTTTTTTTTTTTTTTTTGTTTGATTATTTTTCCTTTCCTTTCCCGTACAATTTCGTGCATCATTGCGTTGCTTCAGCGATGATGGTTTACATCTCGTTTTACCCACCTCGAATTCCACCGTGGATTTCGGGAATATCGGATTACTCGTTCGCAGACCGCGAGCTCTCGTTGCTGATGCCCGTTTCACAAAATGGCCATTAACGCCCCGCACCCCCCAAAAAAATCGGCATTTGTACGCGTGTGTGTAATTCAATAATTTTGTTTTGATGCGTTTCAACGGATACCAAAGCTTATCATCACATAATAATATATGTGCGCGTCTTTGACACCGTGAACTAGTGTATAGATGTATGAGCCAACCAGTCGCTTCGAGATGAATGTATTGTTGTAGGGAGTTGCGAGAGGGTTAAGAAAGAAGAAAACGAGGAGACGGCCGAGCAGACGGTAGAGATTAGCGCGTCCCTCGTTTGAATAATTGGCGGTGTTCATTCGAGCTGATTCACTCGGAAAGAGAGAGAGAGAGAAAGCGGAGAAAACGAGACCGATGCATATATATTCCCCTGCTTGATGCACCCAAGCCCTTTGTGCACATTACGCGTGTTGTACGTGGGCATTCGCCGATTGAACGACTCGACAGCGTGTGTATAGACAATTGACGCGTGCGCCGTCTTAATTGTTGGCTTGGGTTTCCGTTGGTCCGTATATACACACGCACGCGACACTGCTTTCGAGGACCATTTTTTCTTTCCTCTCTCTCTCTCTCTCTCTCTCGAAGAAACAAAAAAAAAAAAAAAGTCCTTTTCTGGAGGAATGCAGCTCTCTTATCGGTGCCGAGATCTCGGAGTAGTTCGGTAAGAAGAAGCCTTTTCAACTCTTTCTCTCTCTTTTTCCGTACCGTTTCTCGTTTCGGGTGCCTTTTTTTTTTTTTTTTTTTTTTTCTATTCATCACACGGGTGTCTTGAAAATTCTCGTCCATCTCACTTGCGGGAGATATACATAGAGACTTTATCCAGCTTGGCGACCCTTTATGCGTCCGAGCATGCCCATCCGATTGGCATTTGTTTTCGGGCATCATTACTATACCGAGGGCCTTTTCTTTTTCCTTCCCGTAGGTTTTTTCATCAAACAATGAATGACAAAAATTAATCCGCAAATGGTACTTTCATTCCTGTCGAAGATACCACGTTTCAAACGCAATTGATAGTGATGGCCTCGGTCGATTGTCACACTGTACCATTAACGATGTGACGGCTTGGTCCATCGAGAAGCAGTTTTATACTGCAAAAAAAAAAAAAATGTACAAAAACGTTTGCGAAGTATGAGAGTGGTTTTGATTATACACTGGGCCATTTTATTAATGTATTGTCATCCAACGACAGTCACGCTCGGCCAGTTTAACCATGTATCGAAGCAGCTATATGATACGCGAATAGGAAACTAAAGCCGAGCGCGTCTCACTTGGCGGATTTGTATTTTTTTTTTTTTTTTTTTTTCTCACGTGCATCTACGTATAACTATACACACTACACGAGAGACGTAATATGTAACGCAGTTGCAGGCGCACACACACAGGGCACCTGTCGCTTTACCGCAACAGCGGCGTGTGTCCGGTCGTCGCGTTTGCATATACACACATATCGGACGCTGGACCTTTCGACGCGACCAAACTGGTTTACCCTTCCAATATATACTTGAACAATCATAATAACTGTCGTCTCGCTTTACAACTTGTTCTTCCCTCCTCCGCCCTCTTGCTTTGCTTTTTACGGGCACATATATATCTACACACGCATACACTTGATCCCACCACCGCCCTGCCGTTCATACGTGTATATACGTATACGAACTAGGCGAGGAGCGCGTTTTTTTTTCTTTCTTCTTCTCCTCCGGCCTGATTCCCGTGTCCCCTATTTTACAGCTTCTTGTTTGGTTTTACCTTTTCTTCCGCTCGTTGTCGCTCGAATGCCACCCTCTGTGCCACTCGATATCGCGATTGCGTTGTTCGGCGCGCACCGGATGATTACGAGTTTACGAAAGGTACCGGAGGATCTTGTACGGATCTCGCGCGGCGTTTAAACCCATATTAGTCCACGTTGCAACGCTCAGGTCTATACGAGTGCACTCTTTGGAGGGAACAGCTTATATGTATGGGGGGTTGGGTAACCGCAGATCTGCTGAAAACTAATCTGATTACGTTACCCACTTAGTATTATACTTCTTTCATGTGTACGTTTGTCACTAGCCTCAGGATTGTATACGTTGAAGGGCTTAATATATGTAAATACCTATACTTGGTACTTTGCTGTTTGGATGGATAAGTCGAGAGAGATAGTCGCGAAAAATCAGTGTTCGTTAGGGAAAAAAGAAAAGTCGATTTTTTTTATTTTTTTTTTTTTATCAAATCTCAAGATTTATCGAAAAACAAGGGAGAAACCCAGCCTTGCACTGGCGATGGAAAACAAAAACAAATTTGCTCGGCAGCTCTGTCTTTCCCATAAGAGCACTAAGCCGGCGTCTCTGTACGCGACGCGCTCCACTTTACTCCCGCTCCAGCTAACGTATCGTGTGTCCGGACTGGGAGAGAGACGGTGGAAGCCATTATCTCCTCTCTCCGCCTTGGAACGCATTACACACAAGAGCTTTCCGAAACGTACGAGGTTTGCGACGCGAAAAAAAAAAAAAAATGCGCCGACGGTGCAGCATCGTTGCCGCGCGACGCGAGAGCACGCGAACTATATGGAAACAAAAAAAAAAAAAAAAAAGAAAAAGAAAATGTCACGCAGGACAGAGCAAAGAGCTTTCCCCCTCTCTACGTCGACTTTCTTGGCAGCTCTATTCTTTTTGCCTCCCTCTCTCCTTCCTTGCACGAGGGGGGCCAACGGCAGCACCCGCCGCTTTGATGGACTCTCGTGTTTCGCTAAAAGTTTTACGTTGACGTTGCCGCCAGCATAATACAAGGATATGTACGTGTGTATAAGCTACAACGACGGAGAAGAAAAGAAAAAAAAACGAGCTTAAAGGAAAAAATCCCGTTTTACGAGAAAAGAAATGCCCCTCGCTTCGTTAGGCCAGGCGGGGGTGGGCTTTTACTTTTTTAACGTTACCGCGTTGTTTTGCTGCTGGAATAAACCATCGATAAGCTGACCTTGCGTGTTTTTCAACCCCTTCGAGAACGCGAGCTTGTTGGGTTCATACACGCTCCGATGATTTCCCCCCGTTGGATCGATCGAATCGACGTAACGGACGAGTATAGGATCAACGGGAGGAAAAACTGTGCGGCACGGGGTGATCCGGACAAATGGGAAGCCGAACAACGGGCGACAATTAAACGCAACAACCGACGCTATATCGTTTCCCGGGGCGAGTAACGCGAACGTTCAACAGGATTACAGCGTGTGAACACTGTGCGACTAAACCTGGCTGTATGTACGTTTACGGACAATGGGGGGGATTACGGGGCTTTTACGCACGTAGTTGCACAATTTACGGACAGGGTGACGCTCGCGCCCAAATGCATAATATAATACATTGTATTTGGGAAAATAGAGCCACGCATCGGGGAAAGAATCTCGTTGATCCGTCGATCGAGCGCGTCGTTTTTACGGGAGAAATGCGAGGATCCAGGAGGTCGCCTGTATATTGTGGATGTGTTCCCTCTGCACTTGTACATTGTTCCCATCTCTTTCTCTTTACCAGATCGCTGAGTTGAGCAGAGATGTACCATCAGGGGATGGGAATTTTTCGTGGAAGATCCACACCGGATTGAAATCTGTTTGGCCGTTTACAGGACGATGATGCGCAATCGTACGATCGTTACGCGCTACCTTTACACAATAACGGTTCTTTTCTTCTTCTTTCTTTCGAAATAATAATAATATTAATAATAATAATAATAATAATAATAATAATAATAAATGTACCAGTCACTATACCCATGTGTGGTTAACTTGGCCTTACCCTCGATGCAATACATTGTGCATTATTCGTAACTTCATTGATGTTTGAATTTTATTTTTTAATGTCAAAATTGATAACTAATTAGGAAAAAAAAAAAAATAAATAAAAAAATAAACGACTCGNGCGTTGAGCTGCGGGCGGGTTTTTTAGTATGGCGTGCATACAATATATGTGCAGCCTGATATGGCGAGGGACATGCATAGGGACTAAAGAGAGGACGACTATACCCATGTGTGGTTAACTTGGCCTTACCCTCGATGCAATACATTGTGCATTATTCGTAACTTCATTGATGTTTGAATTTTATTTTTTAATGTCAAAATTGATAACTAATTTCCAAAAAAAAAAAAATAAATAAAAAAATACCTACGTTCCACCCGAGCTTATCACCCTAATTGTGTCCACGTGCGGTCTGATAGCCCGATAACTCCGTATCGTGAAAATATACAATACATAATATGTCCTTGAGATGATAATCCAAGAATAACGACCACATCAAGTGCAAGCGATGTTTTATGAGCGATACCAACTTACTTAACGTTGTAAACGACGTAAAATATATTAACCGTAATTCAAGTACATTCATAGAAGATCGTTGTGTTCATTATTGTGTAAAAAAAAGTCTTCAGCAGAAAAATGTTTTAAATTAATTATTAACAAGTAGGTACATTCCGATACCAATAGTAAGGTTTGTTCATCAGTGAAGAAAAAAAAAAAAAAAAAAAAAAAAAATCTAGACTATTAGACTTCATTTAACGATTTCTTCTGGAACTCTAGCGTATACATTAAGTTAAAGAATGTCTTTATAATTAAAAAAACAAAGGCAATTATAACGTGTGTTGGGTACTATATGTTACTGTAGTAACATCTATATACTAATATTGTTAATGACAACACTGGATAAGGATAAGACACTATTACTACGTTACGCGCGTGAAGAGGTCCGGGATTCCATACTTGGCATTCACTACTCACGTATTCTCTTGATTGGTTTCTTTGTTTGCTTTCCACTTTTGTCAAGTATTTTCTATAAGCTAGTATAAAAAAGTTATTATTCATCAATCACTTTTAACTAACAGACAACGTATGTATATCATCCGAAATTAAGTACGAATTTTTATAATACACAAGATTAAAGCACAATAAGATGATGTTTCTCAAGATGGGTGTATCTTTGACGAAATTTGTGTCAACAAACCTGGCCTGTCAATGCACGAGGTATTCATACTTTAATTTGTACTTAATTTTTTTTATCAACTAAATGAAAAGTAAAGTATAAATATATATCGTTGAAAATTTTCAAACTTTAATAGCACTGCAAGGAAAATGTCCATAGCATTACGTCATTCAAAACCAAAATTACATTTACTGGTTGATCAAAAAAACGTAAATTTCTGGCAAATGCCAAAAAGTAGTATATTTATCCAAGCACGTGACACACCTAATCCAAACAGCAAAAAATTCGTTCCTGACGTCGAAGTTTTAGGTCCTGGAAGAACTAAAGAATTTTCTAATGCAAAAGACGCAAATTGCTCACCTCTCGCTAAAATCTTGTTCGATATTAAAGGAGTAAAATACGTGTTTTTCGGACCTGATTTCATCACCGTCATCAAGACCGACGATTCAAAATGGCAATTTTTAAAGCCTGAAATTATTTCCAGCATGACCGACTTCTTTGCCAGTGGTTTATCAATTTTACCAAAACCTCAAGATTCACCGGATACATGTAACTATTCATGCGTACAATTGAATTGATCAACAAAAAAGTTTTTTTGCTCAATTTATACTTACTTATTATCATCAACAGTTAATGGAGAGGACGACGAAGTGGTTCGAAAGATCAAAGAAGTAATCGATACGAAAGTAAGGCCAAGGGCTCAAGAAGACGGCGGAGATCTAGTTTTCATGGTACGCATCATTTTTGTATTTAATGGTTCTACAAAATAATTGTGTTGAATTTACAAACTCAGTTAAACCCAATTACTCCTCGTAAGCCATTGGATTAGACTGGGCTTGGACTATATATAGCCATTTTTATTCTTTTGTGTACAGGGTTTTGAAAATGGAATCGTTAAATTGAAAATGCGAGGTACTTGTACGAGTTGCCCGAATTCTGTCGAAACTTTGAAAAATGGTGTGCAAAATATGCTGCAATTTTACGTGCCGGATGTCCTTGGTGTCGAACGAGTTGACGGCGATGCCACCAAAACCCCGGTAGCTGAACTGGATATGCTCGAAAAAAAAAAAATTGACAAATATAGTGTTGAAGGAAAAGCTTGAGCAAAAAGGTACTTATTTTAAAAATTTTTGTATTCCTTTTAATATTATTGCTTTGATTCAGGGAATTTTTCACAATACTAGGTGGTGGGTTAGTTGTACGTGTGTTTACCTATACATGAATTGAAAAAAAAAAAAAAAATTATCACATGTTTAAATACTTAATTACAACGGATAAAAATAAAATGTATTACTATTTCTTTGTGAAATTTCATGAATAAAATTTTTGTAATTGAATTGAAAATCAAACGAAAATATTTCGTCTCTAAAAACTAATACGACTGATAAACGTACAGAGACGTTTTCTCCGTAAAAAAATGAATAATCATTAAAATAAAGAAAGACGCAAAGCTATTCGACTGCACAGACGAATCAGTATATGAATCTCTTCAAAGGCTTTTATCTACTTTTCCCCAACGTACTACATATTATAACTTTGACGATTGCAAAATGTATGTTTTAGCGTAATTATTGATTTGGCTCCCCAAGGAGTGAAACGAAACCATCCACAACACATTTTCCATTAGCGATCCAACGTGCAACTAAGCATTATCGATTGCGTGGTCCCTGGATCCTCCAAGACTTGCACGAAGATAGAGCTCACGCGAGGTATATATAAAATCAAATCCGAGGGCCGAGCAGGACTAGCCTACATATTGTTTCGCGTTGCTCGTAAAATAGCCCACTTTATCAGGTAAGACGCGAGCACCCCAATGTGGCGTCTGAAACTCCCTGTTTTCTTATACCTCAAGAACCAACCTATACACGGCATAAAGGCTAAAAAAAAAAAAAAAAAAAAAATCAGACGTAGAGGTGATGTGTGCGAGGAGCTATTGCACGCTTGTGCATGAATACTTATAAGTAGGTGTTACACATCGCCAAGCCGAGTGCAGGTACAACCTCATGCAAGTAGTTAAACCCCTACAGACCACCCATGTACAAGCAGCTCTCGTCTACTGTTTCTATTCGCGGAATGTGCGGTATACCTAACATACATTACGATGATCGGTTATCAATGGTACGGGCGTTGAGCTGCGGGCGGGTTTTTTAGTATGGCGTGCATACAATATATGTGCAGCCTGATATGGCGAGGGACATGCATAGGGACTAAAGAGAGGACGAAAAGACATTTTTTCAACCCCCGAGCAGAGTATAGGTGATGAATAAAAATAAAAATAAAATAATAATAATTAGAGCAGAGAGAGAGAGAGAGAGAGAGATGAGCCAGGGGTAGAAAAAAAAAAAAAAAAGAAGGCAATCGACTCAAATTTGCCCCCATTTAGCCAAATCGTACGTACACCCACCCTCGCTCCGTGTAATAAGAAGTATTAATTAGATGCACATGGGCTATAATATATGTTATACAGTCTGTATATCAAGCATATGTATTTTCTCTTGCACACCCACGCTCCTTTAAACGAGCACAAGCTATATGACTATCGCACACGTGCGTCGTGTGTGTATAAGTGTGTGCTCTCGACCTACAGCCCCATACATGACGAATGACGAGGGATGAGGCACCCACACACGCACTATAGGGAGAACAAGCCTGGTTACACACTCGTCCGGACGCCGCAGGCAGCTGTCACCTTATACACACGCCCGTGGCAAAGGAGCGAGAGTGAGAGAGATGAGGGGCCCCCGGAGCCATTCCCAACTTATCTGCACGATCTTTGTAAACATGTCGTGAAATCCGAGTATATTTCGTGGTCCGCCGGTGAATGCGTACATATATATACATATATATACAGTCAGTCCCCGGAGCCCGTGAGCACCCGCACACAAGAGACAGCGAGGGGGTGGCGATGGGGACCTCTCGAGAGAGGGCTAGCTTCAACCCCTCACCCCTCCCTCCCGCTCCCCTGAAGGCTTTTATGCCGTAATGTTGGATACACGTTGCGGGCCCCCCGAGCGACGGTACGAATATACACAGGTGGTATACATATAGCGGGGGGGGGAAGAGGGGAGCTTTCCACCGGCGAAATCCCGAGATCGCGATGGCGCGGTGCTCCTCGGGGGCGCCCGCTCCTCTTCTCTTCCGCGTATATGTACATATACACCGCGGTGCAGTACGCGAGTCCTGTGGTACATATACTTACAGTAGCGAGAAAAATTCCACGCGAGTACGATTATTGTCTATACGCGCGGGGGTGGTTTTCACATTTCTCGAACCCCTATACTACTTTGTTTTTTTTTTTTTCTTCTTTTTTTTTCCAAGGGTTGCTTTCGAGTTGTTTCATCGTCTCGGAGGAGTTGGAGAAAAACGTTTACCCATGAGGTACACCTTCACACAATATTGTATTCGGGATGAGTTGGTCCCGGTGCTCGCCACACATATATAGGTATACGTTTTCTTCTCTAGTCGCGTAATCCCCCCCCCCCCTGGCAACTATGTATATAGTGTGCGGATGATACGATGCGCCTATATGCAGTGTTCCACGACGTCGCGTTAAATGGGGCACACATATATCTTTGTTCCACCCTCCCTGTAAACGTGGGTATACATATATACCTTATAGACCCAACAATAGGATGCCAGCGTCTTCCTCCCGCGCCCGATACATCTCCATCGGTATCCCTTTTACTCGTATGTACCATACGTATGAGATCCCTCTTTATTTTCCCTCATCTTTTTCGTCTCCTTTGCCGTTCGCTCAAACTTCAGCTCGTCGTGGAAAAAGGAAAAGCTTCCGATGTGCACTCTCTGACACACCGCGTACACACAACCTGTATAGCAGATTTTATTTGCAAAGAGATATCGGTATGGTCTTTCTTTTTCCATTACAAATCTTGGCGGATGAAGAAAAAAAAAACCAAAAAAAAAAAAACAAAAAAAAGAATCCTCGGGAATTTCTCGACGCATCTCCCGAAATCAAATGATATAAATAAGAGCCCGTGGCCTCCCCCCCCTGCGGCCAGTAGATGAAAATATACATATAGACATGTATTTTGCTGAGAGTCGGGCAGGTTCTCGAGTTTGGAATCTCTCCGGGCGCGTAGACGCATCCTCTCTTCGCGAGATGTTATCATCACGAGCGCGCCCCCCCCAAACCCTCCCCACGGACCCCCTCTTACACCCTAATTTATTTCAATCCCACCTTGCGCGTACGTAAATATGTATATATAATACCTGAGGGGCCCATGGTGCAAAAAGCTCGCGCTTGTTTCCTTCCTCTTTATACCTATAACTTTCTTTCTTTTTTTATTTTTTTTTTTTTCCAATGAACTTTATCCAGCCAAAAATCAACGATTTTTCCTCCCTAGCTTTAATTGATATTTGCAACCGTTGATTAATACAATACGCGCAAGTGATTCCAAGCTAACGAAGCTCGAACGTAACATCAGTTTTATTCCTCAACGCATGAGTACGAATATTAGTTAACTGTTGATTAAACATCTAACCATTTACTGTTTCGCGCTTGTCGCATTATTACGAAATTAAAGTAATTAAATCAATATACTTACGTTATTTTCTCTCACTAGATTAACAGCGGGGGTTCGCTATGGTTTTCTCTCCATCGAATAATGGTAATCCGCCAAGTACTGATTTTTTATTGCAAATTTTGCGGGTGAAAAAGAAAGTGCACTGCCAATACTTAATTATTGTAGAAAAAAAAAAAAAAGCCTTATAAGGGATGGTATATTGATCTACCCTGGCAAGTCGGTAAAACACCCGAATCATTTTCAATAATTAAGTTTGGCCCAATTGGAAAAAAAGTTCCACATCCTCTCGACTTTTGCTGTACCCGCAAACTTGTGCAACGACGATAAAACAAGAAAATAAAGAAACCTAGCTGAGTGATAATCCCCGCAAAAAGAGAGGAGGGGCATACACTTGCGCGTGCAGAGAGTCTGGTCCGAGACAGGAGGGAAGACGTGGTTAAAAAAGAAAGAGAGTGAGATGGAGACGGGGAACCGCAGCAACGGTGAAACATAATCCAAGTTGCACCAGCCTCTCCGCGACTCTCTTTCTTTATCCTCGCGTCCTCCGTATGTACGGCTAGGCATACCTCCCGAGAGTCCCGAGCTAAGGAGAAAGAGAGGTCCAGCCATGCGAGGCAAAAAGAGAGAGAGAAAAACGCCACGCGAATCAGATTACACCTCCACAGCGCTTTTTCTTTCCACAGCAGATACACACGATGCCCAAGCGCTTATCTTCATTCCGGAGCGCTTCTCTCTCTCTCTTCTCTTTGTCATCCCATCGCTTCTTTTTCCCGCGTCTGCTCTTTTGTTTTCATTTTGAACTTACGCCTCATCTCGCATCGACGCATCCGAGGGTTGACAGGTACGACCAGGGGAGCGGGTACCTGTGCGTCCGGCCGGCGATTTTTCTCAACTCGAGCGTGATCGAATTAAACCGGTCGACTGTAATGGTCAAGAACGCTGTCTTCTTAACAGCTGGGTGGGCATTAGTCTGCGCGTTGCATCCGTGGATTAGTTTTTTTCTTTTTTTTTTTCTGGTAGACCATCGCTTTTTGTGAATTTATTAACTGATGTTAAATTTCAAAAAGTGCGGGCACGTGTTGACTTAGAAAAATATTTATTCAAGTTAAATATTTTTGTTTCTCAAGATCAAAGACAATGACTTATGTGAACAACAAGTGTCACTAGATTTCTCCTACACGATTATCATAATAACTTCGAGGTTTTCTTATAGTACTATAGTTTCAATTAAATTTACAAAATAACGGACAGCCGTACGTTTCGCATAATAAATCAAGTATTACTCGGTGTCAACTGTGCTGGCTTGCAGAAAAACTGGAGTCTGCCCACTCTGAGCTACTTGGATCAATTGAGGCTGAGCTTGAATCGGAGCAGCTTGAATTATGATAGGCTGCGAGCTTCCCCCTTGAACTTGCATTCTAATCATTTGTAACTGCTGGGGTGTCAATTGAATCTAAAACAAATTTTGACAAGTGATGAAAATCTGATTTCATTATTATAATGTTAAACTTTCCAAGTTAATTGAAGCAATAAATAAATTTGGAGATTTGAACTGGCATGGTTTAATAATAGCAGCTACTTTTTGTAGTATCATATGTTTATCGTGTAACATGTGAATTTTAATTTTACTTGTGTTATACAACCATAACAACGTTGTCGTTATTGCCTTATATCGGTTAAGCAGTTTTGAAATGACACCACAGTTACTGACAGAGCTAAGTTTCGAGGGAAAGACGAATTATACAATTTAATATCATTTACCTTTGTCAGATCTTAGAAAATAGTAAATAAAACTTTCTATACTTGAGCTGCATTACGTTAAATAGAAGAATTATTTTCTCATTCTAACGGTTGCATCTCGTTTGCAACAGTACAATCTTTTATACAAATTAAACAAAAAGTGTTACGCTAATTTATATTTACGGGTATTTGCTGGATTTCCCCAGTTGGTGTGACTATTTGTTGCACTATTTGTATCCCTCCCGTTGCTGCTGTTGTGGCTTGTTGTGCCTGTTGCAGTTGGATAACTTGCGGTCCAGTAGTCTGTTGAGGAGTTTGCACAGTGATAGTTTGGGTTTGACCCGAATCCTGAGATTTTTTTTGATTACTCGAAAGTTCAAGTATCAATTGATTAAAAAAATTTATCATACCTGATCAACTGGATTTCCTATGTTGATTGTCTGTATTTGACCAGTACCAGGCTGTACTATTTGTATTGGTTGTCCCGATGATCCACTACTTTGTACAGTCTGATTAGCTGATGCCTGCTGCTGTGCCAATTGAAAATAATAATGCACTTGATCCGAATTCATGGGCGTCCTGACTGCATTTTCGGACTGTGCTTTACTCTGCTTCAATTCATCTCTTGGTACAATGTCGATCAAGAAATCAAATTGATCATATTTCGTAATTGCCATGGCAATGTCATTTCTTTGCAAAGTCCTTCGCTTATTATCCTCTGTGTGCACCCATGCCCTGAGAGTCAACTCATGTATAAATATTTCAGCAGCCTTGGAAAACAACATTGGAGCTTCTGCACTTATCATTTTCACGTCTCCGTCCAATTTCATGATTTTTTTTATCCTTGCCAAAGGCAGAGACTGTGTTTTCAAGTCCATCTACAAAAAAATTTCGTGTCATTATCCGTGGCAGTAGCAACAATCACAACGAACCGATTCTATTGGTTGAATCAAAACACACCGTGGTTATCTTTTTAATTTCCTCTATGACTTTTGGCCAGAATTGGTCCAATGCTTGCTGAGCTTCGGAGTTCACGGCGGCTGCGATTTGCAAGTCGCCATTGGATTCGCCTTCGGGTTCGCTGTCTTGGCTACTAAAAATCGGAATGAAAACAAGCATTTTATTAAATTATGCCGTTTATTAAAAACGAGGTTATGCAACAGACAAACAAGCGAAAATGATTTAAACAACAAAGGAATGACTTGACGTAGAATTCCATTTTTTAAATTCTAACACTGTATCGAACGAAATGAAAATTTAAAAAAAACTTAAAAATAAGCTGTCAAAGAATCATGTTTTATACATTAAAATTAAATTTTAGCGACGTAACCTTAATTTTGTGACGCCTTGGCGTCAGTACCTACGTGTTTACAAAAAAAACGGACATGTCGCATTACTTTATAATACTACAAATACTGAAGTTTCACGATAACATGACTGTATTATCTTGTTTACAAATATTTTATACTTGTAACTCAAAAATAAACTGGTCTACTGTAACAAAATATAAAAACACAGTTTCGGAGCATTCGGAGCTTCTTTTTTGTTGTAGTTTGCAGTATACTGCAGATGGTATACATATATAGTACATGGTATAAAAAATGCGTACTTGATAAAGTAAGAAGTTACATTTATCGACAGAAACGTAGTTGTCTCGAAGCTTCGTAATTAAAGTTACAGATGGCGCTGACTACACCAAAACCGGTAAGGTAGAGCCAGACAATAGTTTAGCGCGTAATTTCGAAGAATCATATAGGTATAGGTTGTACTGAATACTTAACTTTGAACCACGAAAAAACAAAACCACAGTTTTTGAAAAATAATAAAGTATAACCATCTTTAATCACGCAACCTTCACCAATCTGTCAAATATGAATGCAACAACGAATATTTGCCAATCGAGTATCAATTGTGGGATGATTTGTAATTGCTGATCTTCAAAAACACGTGATTCAAAATTTCCTTGGCCGTTAGGGTCTCGAAATTACTGATTAGCATGATAGCGCCGAACTCGCGGATGTAGTAATCCAATTCTCGTTCGCTGGTTGCGTCCGTGTCGGTGACGTATTTGTTCGTCAGTTGCGAGAGCTTCAAATAATTCGAGCTGAAAGCCTCGTCCAGATCGTACAACTCCAAGGCTGGCGGTGGAAGTTCTTGAAACGTTGGAGGAAACACCTGGAAGAAAAAGAAAAGAGATCAATTGCAATTGACGATGCTTTGATTGACGAGACTCACGGAGGGCTGGACCGGTGGCAACGGAGTCTCGAAATTCGGAGCGATCAGGCTCAGTGGCTCGTGCTTGACGTTGAGCTCGTCGTAGGCTTTCAAGCTTTCTGGCACCATATCCAGATTGATCGAGTACAAATCGTATTCGAACAATTTTGTGTACTCCCTGGGTATGTCGACGCTGTCCAAGTCTTGAGTGCAGACCCGTGGTTTGTCGGCTTGTTGGGTTATGTCGGGCACAAAGTTGTACTCCCAGTACTGAGGAGGGCACAAATATGGATTTTTTTTTTTAATGTATATGTTTTGTCGCAAAAATGTATAAACATAGTCAATGTAATTACGTCGGCGTCATCGCTTTGCATCTGGGATGTTTCGACGGGCTCGGATTCGAAAAACCCGAAGATCATTTCTCGAAGCTGGTCGTTTTTTTCCTTGTCTATGTAAGCGTCGGCAAGCACCTTCGACGAGCCCAAGACCACAAGTTTTCCTGATGTTGTTTTTGAAGAGAAATACGCGCAAATCGGCCGATTGGTGGGAATCGTTATCGTCCCGCTCGACACAGCAACTATCGATGGTTTCACGACGTTCAACGTTGCGCCGTACGGATACAAAAACTTTAATCTACGAATTAAAAAAAGATACAAAAAAAAAACACTTTATAAAACCAAATATACATTATACTATACCCAGTGTAAAATGGATTGAAAAACTCACTCTTGGTCTTCGTGATTTTTCGAAAACACCGACTTGTGAGACAAGCCCTTGCTGACGGTACACTCCTTTGGATGCAAAGTTTGATGATAACTCATCCTCACGACGCAATCTACAAGTTCACCGATTATCTTTCATTGCGTTCCAAGTATTTGAAAAAGCTTGCGACTCACCGTTATTAATCATTATTCCAAATTCCTCGAGGATAAAGTTGATGTTTGTGTTGAATTTTTTCTCGCCACCCTCGCCGAGCGTGACCAAGGCATTTCCACCTGAGTTGATAAACGTTCTTATCGAGTTCATTTCCAACTCTGTGAACTTGTTCCGCGGACCAGCCAGCATTAAAATTTTCCCAGTCGACAGAAACTCTGCCGTTAACACGTCTGTGTTCCTGTGAATTTTCCAGAACAAAAAAAAATGAATCGACATTTTACGAATCGTATTTCCAAAATATTGACTTACTCGATGAATTTCCATTTCGGTTTTAACTTCCGCTGCAGCACTTTGTACTCTTCGTTGAGTTTCTTTTCGTTTTTGGAGATATCGAAAATGACGACGTTCGCCGAGTTGTCATTCGAAGTGGGCAAAGAATTCATTGTCATGGTCCCGCAATTGTTTGTTTTTAACGTAAAAAAGAAGAAAAAAAACCAAAGTGTATAATCTCAACTCATTTTATTGGGTTGGAAACAATTTCAGCACACGTAGACAAACAGATGTAGGGGGTGAGAGCATTGTTGCTAACAGCAACCACTTTCACATCAAACCTTGCCCTTCCAGTTGGTTCCAATGATTTTCTACAAATATTTTTAATTCTTTATTTTCAATGATTTTTCAAAGAAAAGAATGTTGTATTCTCAAATGTTGTGTAGACGTATGTCCAAAAAGATAAAGACTTAAGGATTTAACAACAAATAAAAGATCCTATGCGGTACGTTAGTACGAGGAAAAATGTTTTAAAAGTTTGCCCCCAGAATCAGCGCTCCCTATTGGGAATCTATATAGTGACAAGTGACGTGAGTCGTGAGCTGAGATTTAAAGACTCGTCGGCGACGTCGGCGTCGAAATGTTTTCGATAAGAATTTGAAAGTTATTAGTAAGCCAAGTCATACTAATTTACTAATCTTATCTGCTAGTTAATAATAGGTATGATAGTATACAGTAGAGTTGTACAGTGTATTTGGGAAGCGTTCTTTGTGCGGTCGGTTGTTCCTTGTTTCAAGTTTACTTGTAAAATTATACCAAGTACTTGTACCCTTCTGATCCCTACCTGATCCCTACAAAGTATACCTACTGCAAAGTGTGTAAAGAGAACAAATATTGGCGGATGCATAGTTTAGCAATAAAAAATGACGTCTGTGCAACCTGATGAAATAATGGCCAGTCCGGAAAAAAATGCTATCGAAGATGGTTCCATGGCTCCACCGCTCACTGTAAGTACCTTTAAATCTGTCAGGAAGATTGAGGTTAAGCCGGACGTTTCTGATGGACTCCAGTGCTTGTACTTTCGCAGCCAAATGTTCCGAGGCCGAGTACTTCCTCGTCCCAGGCGACGACCGTGGTACCCGTCAATCCCCAGACGTCGATATCAGCTGTCGTACCGTCTATAATTGCTGGGAAAGAACTCCTGGAGCCTCAATTACAGTAAGTCTTTTGTATATGTTAGCCCATATGTCTCTGTACCTAGTACGTACAGGTGCATAAACCTAAAGAGTAAGTACAACATAAACAAATAGAACTAAGCCTGCTTGCAGCAGCAACCCACGTGCGGCGTGCTCCCGACATATATATCCTCATTATTGCATCATGCAGACATCTCTATCGCAGCATAGCATTTACATTTGATTATTACAGAAATGTTGTGTCAACGGTCAATCTGGGATGTGAACTCAGGTTGACCTACATCAATACGAGGACTAGAAATTCAGAGTACAATCCTGCCAGGTTCACAGGTCTAATCATGCGAATACGCAATCCTAAAGCAACAGCTTTGATCTTTCGCTCTGGCAAATTGGTGTGCACTGGAGCCAGATGCGAAGAAGACTCGTTTTTAGCTTCTAAAAAGTTTGCCAGAATAATACAAAAGATTGGTTTTCCAGTGAGTGTAGATGACATTTATATATTGAATGATATGAGTCGACAGTTTGATTATGCATGCGTTTTTACTGACTAGGTGAAATTCAGTGAATTCAAGATACAAAACATCGTGGCAACTGCAGATGTAAAGTTTCCAATTAAACTTGAATATTTGAACAGTATGCATCAACAGTTTTCCAGCTACGAACCCGAGTTATATCCTGGTTTGATATACCGAATGATCTTGCCGCGTGTTGTGTTACTTATTTTTGTAAATGGAAAAGTAGTGTTGACAGGTAATATATAATCAACGTTAATATGTGTTCTGTGTGAAATAAATTTTGTTTCATTATCAATGGCGCTTACTTCTTTTATTTCAGGTGCAAAAAATCGCCAAGAACTAAAAGACGCATTGGGAAACATATATCCTATACTAAGAAGCTTCAGAAAGCAGTAGCGTCTAAATGTTATTAATTTGATGTATTTAAGGATACATTTGCCTACAAGACCAATCTGTGTATTTATTGGCATTTGTAAATACTACATTTGTATGTAGAAAGTATTGAATTTAGTTAATAATAAGACAATGGTTATTTATTTCACTTGAAAATATATTTGTATGTATATTTTTGGACATTATATGATAGGTAAATTCTGCATATTCTTTGGTCATAATCTACAAAAATAAAATTCAACTGACAAATACAACAAGTCCGTATGTTTGTATTAATTTATGCCTTATAACTATTGATATGAAAGTTTGGAGAAGGAAAAATGTTTATCGCGATATTTCATCAGAGAGTACAATACGCGTCTTCCGAAGCAGAGAAAAATATAAAAAAATTATTTTCGTTTTTTCAACTGTTCCATACAGTATTTTTTTTTTTTTTTTTTTTCCGACAACTAATTTATCTTATTGAAAATTGGTCTCATCATTCAAACCTTGTACTTCACTTGTATAATTCCGAGGAACTGACTGGAATACTCGCTATTTTCTCTCGTCTGTGCTGACTTTTGTTGGATACCTGGCTCATTCAAAAAAAAAAAATAATAATAAAAAAAATACACTTCTCGTGAAAAATACTTTTAAAAGCCGACGTTAATGCCCTTCTTGGCTGCGATTGGCAATTTTTCTCCGTGAAAGAACGGGTTTTCCTCCTACAACAAAAAAAAGAACCACCAAATTTCAGCATACAGTGTTCCAAAATGCATCAATTGAACGTCCACTATTTATCACCTGGAATCTTTCGACGATCTGATCGAAGTCGGCGTTGGTCATGGACATCGCGGACAGAGAATTGTCATCTGGCTCCGGGCCACTTGGACACTCGAGCATGTGCTCGGAGTCGCACATGCAATCCTGCGCGCTCTGGTATTCACGGCTGAAGGCTGCCGTGTTCTCGAAATTCTCGATGCAGTTGTTTTCGCCTGCGAATCGTGAAACGCACGTTGCACTAAAGAGTCGAAACAAAAATACCATCATTATCAGGCATTAGCTCACTGGTGTAGCCAACGGGACAGGGGTTGGGAGGCGTGCAGTAAGCCGGCAGCTGGCTCTCCGTCTTCTCGTCCTTGCTCTGCTTGCCAACGGCGGCGGCGGCCACCCCGGGCTGGACTTTGTTGTGCCTGTCGTTGGTCTTGTAGTTGTTGTGATTGTTGTTGTTGAGAGCTTGGTTGCTCCAGAGGCTGCTGTGCTGCAGGTACTCCTGGTCGCGGATGCTGGCCTTTGGATTGAGCGCGTCGATGCTGTCGTAGTCGAAGGGCAGCTCGAGCGGGATCTCCTTGTCGGAGAGGCCGCGCAGGGCCGAGGACGACTCCCGGCTGTCCATGTAAGGGTCGCCGGCCTCCGCTGCCGCGAGCTCGCTACCCATGCGCTCGAGCAGCTCGCGCAGCATCAGGTTGTTCACGTTGAAGTACGGGGACACGGAATCGGACTGCGCAGTCGAATGTCACGGAAACGTGAGTCAGTGATTCATTAAAATGATAGGGTGCTTACACCGTATTGTACACCACAGAGTCATCATCAATGTATTTTATATTGTTTTTCTTTTAAAGTTATATATATAAATAGTTACCCTCAGGCCCACCATGTCGTGCATGAAAGCTTGCGCCCCAACGATGGCACCGATGACGAGAACGTACCGATACATTTCAAAGAGTTGCGAGACGATCCTGCAACAGATACACCAGGACCAACAATTAATCGGATTGGAACAGTACCTTGGACTTGAAGTATGGCTGGTGGACACAATCGGAGCTTTCGACCACCGAATCCAATGATTTTACTTCCAAAGCTCATTTTAAGCACGATGATTATAAAAACACTAGAAAAATACGTACTGTCGAGCGTATTTGTTGTCACAGCTGGCGAGGCTTGCAAGCTCGCTCTGTGCAATAAGAGAGGAGGAGCAAGCCGCGCGCATTCGTGGCGTCAGCAGCCGCGGGAGGACGGAAGAGCGCATGAACCCATTCCTCGGCTCAGGGTATTGATCGGTCCTTTCCGTGCCCGTAGCAAGTATATATATATATATTATACTCGTGGAAGAAAACTCCCTCGCGCGCATGTACACGCATATCGACTCCCGACGCGTTGTTTTATACTCTGCCCTTCTCTCGTCACTCGTACATTATGTTCCGTTCGTTTTTTTGCGTGAAAAAATGTTACTTGCCCGATCGATCGCCAACGAGACCCTTATTCATATGGGGATTTATCGTATATTTTTTTCTTGATATCACGTAGGGTCCGTTTACGTAACTAAATTGGCATTTTATAACATTTTGTACGATACATACACGATGCGTATCGTAAATGCAAGTCTTGCGTTTGATCAGTGACTTTTTTTATACTAATTTTTAACTCGGTCCGCCACAACGAGACGAGCTTACTCTTGTGTTTGATAAAAAAAGATATTGACGTTCAAAATCTCAACGAATGATTTCGTTTTACACGAAATGTCCTTGTGAAAAAAATTTTCTTTGACGCCTCGCGCATTTCTTTTTCTATATACTTCAAGAAATACGCAAGCGAGGATCGATACCTTTTTTTACCGCAAGAAAACCCGTGTTCCTAAATATGTTACATGGATACACGGTTACATCCATAAAAATACCTTGGGGGGAAAGGTTTTTTTACATCTCCGGAAACTCCGTAATTTGTGAAGCTGTACGTTATACTCGGTGTTACATTTTCTTTAGAGCTTTTTCAACTTTGACAATGTACATCGTGCCACATAATGTATCCACAGAGGCATGCGGAAAATGTCAGCCCTGACCTCGAGTGTACGCCTCGAAAGAAACTTTTTTAATGTCTCGGGGAGAGGGAGCTCGTAACTGTAAGTTTTTTTTGAGAAATCTGCCACACGTATACATTAACTCGTCCTATTATGGTGCAGATTGGGATCAGTTGGGAGGATACGTACAGAGATAATCGCGCCATTCTCACAAAACCTGCGTAATATAAGGATTTTTTCATTGTATTGGTAAAAATAAAATTTGAAGAGAAAAAAAAAAAAAAAAGACCACTGCAAACTCATGATAACTTCGTTCGTCGCTCGTTCCCGAAGCACCTAAAAAGCTGCGCATCACCAAAAATAGTACACATCCCTACGTACAATTATACGTAATGAACGCAGAGTAACGACAAACAGTGGAGGCATCGCTCCTCCCCCTCCTTCCCCATTATGGTGGCTAACGCAATATTCGAGCATCATAAAATAACGGGGGAGGTGGATTCGCGGCTGGTGCGGCTGTCCCCGATGTGGCGGTGGGATAACTTCCAAGTTCGCTCCCACCCACCCCAACCGCTCCCGATGATCAAAGCGAGGCTCTCTCTCCGACGTGCCACTCCTGTGTGTAGCGTGTATGTGTATATATTATGTACATGTGTGAAATCACCCACGCTCAAATATCCAGGCTTCCCCTCGCATGAATGATGATTCGCATAGTTGCGAGAGGGCTTGCTTCGTTCGATTTCGGTCTCGTTTTGTGTTGCGTAACGGATACGCGTCTCTACGCAGAAATTAAACGCAAACCTCTTTTTTTTTTTTTTTTTTTTTTTTTTTTCAATCATTGATATAAAACATTGGTTGGAATTTTTTTTCTGTAAAAAAAAAAAAAAAAAAAAAAAAATCGATGACTCACATATATTATATACCGTCATTTTATCATCCATTACTTTTGTACNAAAAAAAAAAAAAAAAAAAAAAAAAAAAAAAAAAAAAAAAAACAGAACTTGGAGTGGTTGTTGGGCCCTATCTACAATTTCGCGATATTCAGGTGTTACGGAACACTCGACAACTGCAACTTCCAGGTATAGGTGGGGGCTGATTGATTGTTCAACACTCGCTCTCTGCGATATGATGGATGTTTTGCCCTGCGAATTGGCCTTTGCTGGGTACGTTGTTCTTTTCGAGTGGAAAATAGATATGTTTCGCGTGGAGCTATAGTTTCTTGAGCAACTGTGATCGAATTACCGCGCAAAAGTTCCCAAAAACGATGCATATGATTACGCTCGGCTTCTTTGTAGCAAATTCGGCAGAATAGTACGACCTGGGCTGGTCGTGTGAAAATGATGTGATATACAGAACCCTCGCCGAGGGAAACTGAGAACTCGCGAACCGCGGAAAGTAGATAAGGAAGAATTTCAGTTCAAACGCTCGGTACTCTCGCTCCCTCAAGAATATAACTATAAACGCGTAGGAGCTTTGGCTTACCTGTAGTTGTTGCCTTTTTTTTTTTTTTTTTTTATACAGTTGATGGAAACTTGGTTTTGATAAATTGCACTGTTTTTTCAATAGCATACTATAAATAAGTAGATCACATACAGGGCGGGTTCATGTTACTCGATTAACTTCTAAATGACGTCGTAAAGGTACATATTATATGCATTTTATTACCGTAACGCGACATTAATGGGACAACTTTAACTTTACTCTATCCTGTGATCTACTTGTTATTTACAAAGAAAAAAGTATGCATCCAATATTTTCTGATAATCTACCTATTTTATCTGACGGATATTACAAATTTTTTTTTATACCTTAGTGCTCACCCTTATAAATTACACTCAAACGTTTTTTTTTCATCTTTTCTTTCATTAATGGTTATTATAAATGTTTTACATCATATTGTAAGGAAAAAAAGATTTGGGTGATTTATTTCTAAACCCTTACGGTTCTGAGTGACACACAACTATGGCATTCAAGAAATCAAACAATAAATAAAATAAAAACAAGATATTGAAAAATTGAAACGCGTCACACTTCTTTTATTTCATATTCAAGAATTTCGTAATATTCCCGAAGGCACGTGGAAGCTAAAAATGTTTCTCCCGAAAACTTTTTTTCCAATTTTCGGGGACTCCCAACTCGAATATGTTTGTGAAATTTCTCGTAAAAAATTGAACACTCTCAGCAAAATAAATAAAATGATGCACAGGTAACGCAACGAACAGTTGATGGCACGTGTCAAGCAAACAAGCAGGAATCTGTCGTTTTTGTATACATGACAGTCAGGGTAGTGTCTCGAGTCCTTTACGCCTGGCATTCTCCCACGCGCGTGAGTCACGTGTGACCATTTCCACCCGACGATGTATGTATTATGTATCACTCAGTTTTTGTCGATTTGCCTACAAATATACTCACCTCCCTTAATCACAGCTTCCAACTCAAATTACACTTTTGTACGAATAACTCACTCTTCCGTCCCTTCTATATGGCGCAATCAATATTATTTCCCACATGACTCTTTGAGCAAAGTATCGACAAAGCCACTATTCGCAGTTTTATTGCTTCGAACGGTGGGGCCTTGTAGAAAAGAAATTCTCGAGAGTCGGCATGAGGTTTCAATTTGTAGGGCATAAAAAGCTCTCCCTTCGTTTCGTATAGGAGAAAGTTGCAATTGGCCGGGAGCACGTTCGATTTCGCTCTTCGGAGGTATGACGGAGAAATACGTGACACGCGTACGGGATTTTTCTTTCCCCCTTGCTCCGACCACTTTTCATCGACTTCCCTCCATCGCTGGAGTATTTCAAAGTCCATGCTTTTAAAGCTTTTCTTTTTTTTTTTTTTTTTTTTTTTTTTTTTTTTTTTTTTTTTTTTTTTTTCTCGTTAATACTAGTTTTTAAACATTAGTAAGTCAATCACAGTAAAATTATGACATTGAATCCTGTACATTTTTTCTGGGATGGTTTCGAAGTACTGCTTTGTTAGAGACAACAAAACTAATGATACAAATGGAACTGTCGACTGTTACGAATGACACAGTCAGATAATCCGATTTCGTTTTTTTTTTTTTTTTTTTTTTTTTTTGTCCTTAATCCATTCCCCAAACTCCCAGCGTAATCTTCTTACGAATATTCTTTATGATAGGCATCTTCTCTCGTCTCGACAGTCTTGTTCCAACCTCCAATTTTAATTTTACTTAAATACATTGAAGCAACTGACAATAATAGAGAAAAATAAGTCATTCTTCCGAGAATTGTAATTATTTCTATACGAAATGGCTTAGATTAGAGAAAAATGTACCTAATATCGATGTAAATATTACATCAAAACAATTCAAGTCCAACAGTACAATGACGTGTTGTAACACGGGGACCTGCAGTCGGATTTGGGCGCGAATACTACGATATTCGTGATTTTTTTTTTCTTTTTTTTTTTTTCTGCTAATAATGTATTGCATCATTTATGCTGAAAATTAGATTACAAAAAATACATTAAAATAAACCTTAGCACCCGAAACTTATAGCTGCTAGAAAAATTGTATTATCGTTAATAGAGGTGAATAAACAATGCGTTTCAGCAAGCAAAATGCACTTTAGTATTTGAAAATCCATGAAATAATCCCACCGAAGTCTGGAAACAGAGACATTTTTACGAATATTCATCAAGTACACATATTACGCAGACAATGAGCAACCACCTTCGCATGGCGTTACGCAAGAGGTCATCGGAGCACCTCTAAAAGCCTCGCGACGCATCGCGAGAGACACCACCGGGCAAACACAATCGAATATATATACCCCCAATACATACGCGGAGGAACAATAGGCTGCGGTCTCTCCCCTTTCCTCACCACGAGTTCCCGAGCATGGGTATCGATCCCCTCCCGCGCAGCATCACCGTCTCTCGCACGCCTCTACGTATCTCGGCCACCTCTGTCCCTCGCCCTTATCTCAACGAGCCGCTCCGCACAGCCGCCTTTTCATTTAATCTCGAGAAAATGGGAGATCCCCCGCCTTTTTTTTCCATCAGCCGGTGCGCGCTTCTCCCCTCGCGACGAGTTTGTCCCTCCGGAGACCCGTCGGCTGGGACCTTTTTTTTTTCTCTCACTGCTCGACGAGAAGTGTTAATTTCATCGAGGACAGCCGAGTGTTTATTGCGCGTTTGATGGCCCGAGGGGGGATGTAAAACGAACCGAGAG